CTTCCACGCATGATTCTTCAGTGCTGTCGCGTAGTGTTTCCTGCTTTGCTCTGACAGTTGCAGTGAAGGTGTCTTTTGTGGTTGTGTCCTTCAGTAATTGAGTGTTGAACTTGCATTGTGGCCTATCCCCAGCTATCCTCGAGGCTTTTAGTTTCACCTTGAAAGTCCCTTCTACTAGATAGTGGTCTGAACCCACATCTGCTCCTCTCCTTGACCTTGTGTCCAGTAGGCTCCGTCTCCACTTTCTTGAAATTGAGATGAAGTCTATTTGGTTCTTGGTGTTTCCATCTGGTGAAATCCATGTCGTCTTGTGTATATCCTTGTGTTTGAACACACTGCCACCAATCACCAAATCATTGAAGGCGCAGAAGTCTGAGAAGAGTTCACCATTGTCGTTCATTTCACCGAGGGCCTCACGACCCATGGTGAGTTCTCTTCCTGTGTTGTCTCGTCCCAGCTTCGCATTCATGTCGCCCATCAGGATTTTGATATCGCCATTTGGGACGTTGTCCATTATTGCTTGTAGTTGTCTGTAGAACGCCTCCTTCTTCTCTTGTTCTGAGACGTTTGTAGGCGCATAGCATTGAATGACTGTAACTTTCCTTCCTTTTGAGTTGAACCTGGCTGTCATTATCCTGGAGGAGATTGGTTCCCACTGCATGAGAGCTTTGGTTGCTGTTGGTGACATCATGATGGCCACTCCCTCGGTGTGCTCATGGTTGTCCTCTAGGTGGCCGGAATAGATTACTGTCTCTCCAGTAGGTAGTTGGCACCTTCCAGTTCCGTTCCATCTGCTTTCGCAGATTCCCAACACTTCTATTCTGTACCTTCTCATTTCAGCGGCTATCTGGGCAGCCTTTCCAGTTTCGTACATTGTGCGAACATTCCAGGTACCCATCCTTACTTTTGCTTTCATCGAAAGAAGGCACATCGGCTGACTGGCTTCCCGAAGGCTTTCACCAGCCTGCGTCATTTCACTTCCCCGATTCCAGCGAAAAGTAAGGCTATTGCTTATGTTTTTAGAATTTTTAATATATTTATTCGTTGAAGTTTCTGTAGCGATTTGGTTGTTTTACAGGGGTGGAGTTGCTAGCACCACGCCCCAACCCTCCCTCTTTACCCGGGCTTGGGACCGGCGAGAAAACTAGTAAGCTAGTATCTGGCGAGGTTCATTATTGTATATAATATACTTTATTTATTTTAAGTAGTTATACAATCAAAATGTTACGTAATCGCCGAGTTATTTATCGATCACCTTTTAAATCTCCGATTACATCTATTATTAGTACACTTAATAAGCATTTGTTGTAACAACTTGCTCATAGGTGATCAGAGTTTTTGTCAACGCCACACAAATAAATTTTCTGATAATACATTCCGCCAGAGTAAGACTTGCCACTGAAGTGACCACACCCTAAGTCTTTGACTTAAAGTCTTATCTAGAAGGCAATGAATGAAGCAGCATTCTCATGATTAGCGGTAACCAAAACAGGTCCACAGAATATTCAATCCCCTCAGAATCTAGAATCAGGGTTTTTCTTGTTCTCATGTATGTTGTCCATCAATCCAGTTGTCGGCGCCGGATGTTCACTTTCATTTTTGTGAAGGACAACCTGGCTGCGTGTAGACAGAGGCTACGAAACGGTGACCACACGGGAATATTTAGAGAGGAAGACTCTAAAGTCAACTCACACTCAGCCGCACCAGGTCATTCTATGCAAGATGCAGAGGAGTCCCCAAGCAAGACGAAACAGTTATATTCAATACTCTGTGATAGATCCGAATGGTTGTCTAACAGATATCAATCGACTATCGAACTTGAAACATCAGTCAAATTCTTGCAAGCCAATAACTGACAATAACTCTTTTAATTCCATTTATTTCCCCTATTATTATGGTTAACAATTCTCCCCATCCTTAGCTCGATTGTTAGTCTCTCGAAAACCCTCCATCTGTTACACTCTCATAATTCACAATAAATTATACAGACATTAAACGTCAATGACACTTAATACCTGGCTACAGATAATTTGGAACACAAAATCAGACTACTAGAAGCCATTATGTACTATTGAAACTTTAACATGATTAATATTAATGATATCTTTTCGGCGATTTCATTCTCAAAAGCTGTACAATCGCATTTATATAGATTATTTTAACATGGATAGAATTATTATTTGTTTAATTTCACATAGTAACGAAGGTGATAATAATTTTCAACTTGATATGATAGTTTGAAGGTACGAATATAGATTACAAGAGGCTTAGAGACAAGATTTCATAGGATTAGAAAATAGTTACAACGTATGCAAAAAATTTGATTTCAATTTGTTTCTATGCTCATTTTGTTCACACCTGTAGTTCGTCCTATCCCTGCGTTTCTAAACCTCTTGTAATTCATATCAAGTCGAAAATAATTATCACCATTGATTCGCCTTTAAAATTATTTCTCCAGTTATCAAATATTAATTTTTTGCATACGTTGTAACTATTTTCTAATCCTATGAAATCTTGTCTCTAAGCCTCTTGTAATCTATATTCGTACCTTCAAACTATCATATCAAGTTGAAAATTATTATCACCTTCGTTACTATGTGAAATTAAACAAATAATAATTCTATCCATGTTAAAATAATCTATATAAATGCGATTGTACAGCTTTTGAGAATGAAATCGCCGAAAAGATATCTTTGCTGAACTTCGTGTTCTCTTCTTTCTAATGTCCATATGGGTATTTTCCAAGAAATCGCAGCTCCACTTTCGCTGTGACTAACTTTATATAATTTCTTATTGTCTAACATGTTGTGGTTAGTAGTGAGTTGATGGTTCAGTTCTGACCTAAGTTCGATTCCCCACCGACATACTCCTAGACTTCGCCTGGTTTACTAGTCAATGCCTCCCTACCCCCCTGCGTCATTATAAACGACCTGATACAGATGAGGGCAAGTAGACTTCGGTTTGTTTCCCTGTCAAAAGACCCTCATGTCTTGTTCACCGCCTTCACCCGGTAGGAGTGTGAACGTCTGGTTCATATAACCAAATCAATGAGCATTCAGGTCTACCCTAGTGGAAGTATTACGGAGTGGCCCCTTAAGACAACCATCTGTTTCGATCTGGCCCTCCATGCTGTAACTCAGCCCTCACACAAACTATGAGATTTCACTCAAGCATTAGTTTGCAGGGATTTAATTTTGGTCACAGGATTCCATCATTAGCTGACAATCAGTTAGAGAACCACTAGGAGACTTGGCTAGCTGTTTCGTCCTAGTTCGGGACTCTTCATCAAGTATGCACCCACCCATCAGGGTTCAAACCCTCCTGGTTACAAGGCGAACTCGTAGACCATTAGGCCACTGGAACCAGCCCATGAATTCCAACTCCTAGCAATTCATGATATAGCACAACCACTAGCCAGTGTCATCGGTGACAAGTACTTGTCTTCACTCTCCACCTGCTGTACCCACCCCACTGGTGACGACTTCTCATTAGAACTCTAGGTAACCTTATCCTGTAGCCAGTCAGTCACTAGCGATCAAAAAATTAACTTCCAGTAATTAGTTTATGGGGGTACGATTTATTTCAGGTTTGACCATGGGTCCCAGAGACTGAATGGTCTAGGAGCTTACCTTCTAATTAGAAAGTTCAGGGTTCGAAACTCGGTGAGGGTGTACTGTTGATGAGTTTCCAGACTTGGAGGAAACAGCTGCCACCCCGAAAGAGATAGGCGCGGACGGCGTGGGGCCAGCAACGCCAACCGCATAAAATAGGCACACCACTTTCGAAACTTCAAACCTCAAGCTCGAAGCTTACAGCCAGTCCAATGTTCCATTCGGAATGTTAAACCACGCCACAAAATAGGATAATTCACTAAGCGCAGAAATGCCTACTTGCTCAACCAACCACGTCACTTTCAGCACTTGAGCAAAAACATAAAGCTTATTGGAAGTAAACTTGTCTTTTCTTCCATATAAGTTCGTTTATTAGATGTATCACACATTGAGTGAAACAGTATTATTTACTGGATGACAAGGTTTCGAACAAAATTTATTGCGGTTCACAATCATATCAGTTGTAATCATACGACTTCGAAACTTGAGTTTTACAGTTTTATTTATCTTCTCCTATTTGTCGCAGCGGTAGTAGAATTTTCCAGATATCTGGGACAGGTGGTGAATCATTCCTACTATATGTATCTGCAGTTGATTCGATAAACAAAGCTTCTTTTATCAATCTCTCCCTCCACCCTGTGACATTAAATTTTAGAACTGTCATCCTATTGTATGGTTGAATGTAACTGCGTGTAGTGAGTGCTATTATGGCTGAACTATTCTCTAGATTTCTTATCGTATTCGGGTCAACCAATCTAGATTTTGCTAGGTTTTTATGTTCAGCTAGTCTGACTGACTGCCCCTGTTCTACTAGTTTAACCTATGTATTTGACCTGACAGTCATTGTAGGCAGAGTATTAAATAAACTTAATTGACTCCACAGGATTGATCCTTTAACCGACAAAGCCTGCTTCTAATTGAATTTGTGGTTGGTTTGAATGCCAGACACTTTTATTCCTGCCAGCCTTGTTAATAATTCTGTGTAAGGTGGTTTCCCTTGTCGTCGTCATTATTATTATTATTATTATTATTATTATTATATTATGACTATCGCTACTATCATCATTTATTTTATTTTTACATTTCCTTACATATTTCCTGACTAATTTATCAGGGTAATTATTAAGTTTCAAGGCTTATCTTATATGCATCACTTCTTGTCTTAGATTTTCCCTGGTACTACTTAGTTTTTGGGCTCTGTCACTTAAACATTTCACCAATCCTCCTTTCTGCACTGACATACGATGGGTGGGATGATTGGAAGTCCAAATATCCGTTTGAATGTGTGGGTTTCCTGTAAACACACGCACACGCACACACACTAGTGTGTTCAACTTCCCATCTTCTTTCCTTTTTACGTTACAATCTAACATTAGAAGCTCCCCCAATATCCTGACTCTCCAATTTATAAGTGAATTGAATTGCCTCCACCTTCTCGAGTTGATGCGTTCGAAAATCAAGAAGTAAAAAACACATTAAAACGAACCATTTTGATCGTTTCTTTTTTCTCTCCTATTCATCATCTTATATGTTAAGAAAACAATAGGCGCCACACTCACACACACACACACACACACAAGAAGATAAATCACAGATAAGCTGGGATTGTTTTCAAATAATCAATCAACAAATAATGGAATGGAACTTTGAAAAAGAAGGAAAAAGACAAAAAAAAGAAGAGAAGTATAAACACAAAAGCGCAACAAATTTACAGGACGACCAGCCAACCAACCAATCAGACAATGGATAGAGAACAGAAAAGCACTCTGAACACACACACACACACAGAGAGAGAGACACGCATAAAAGAAACAAAATGGACAGGACATCATCATCTTCTTCTCCTCCCCATAGGAAGTCAAAACATGGCACATAATATGCTCACCCACTCAGCGCCTACACCTTCAAAAGTGAAAATCACAAAGGACCATATCACAAAGAGAAGAAGAGAGAAAAGAAATTTAATGGTACATATACACAACACATAGAATAAGGTTACGTAAGGTGTTACAGAGAAGAGAGAAATCAGCACAGTGGATCTATCATGATTGATCGACAAACAAACAAATCGATAAACAAACAAACAAACCGACACACTCTTAAAGAACAGCCAATAAAATCAATATAATAATCAGAGTAATTAACAAAGAGAATATTGCACACCATTGTCGACGATCTGTACTCAAGTGTAACAGGCGAGCTGTTCGTTTGGTGACCGAGTCCAGTCTAGACTCTGTACTAATCATTTCACTAGAGAAATCATCCAGTAGGACAACTTGATCGCTTAATTCATCACCAATTCGTTGTGACATACCTTTAAGATTTGATATTGTTGTGCCTAATTGATCTAACCGGTTGTCTTGTTCATAAAGTAATTGTTTTTGTTGGGTAAGTGGATCATGATTTACCGATGATGATGACGATGAGTAAATATTTGATGATGTTTTATGAGAGTGGATTGATGGCATATTCGAAGGGATTCTTTGTGTTGTCGCCTCTCTGTTCAATCGAGAGAAAAAAATATATATTTATAAAAACAAAATGATTCCAGTTTCATATCGAAAGAATATTAATAAGTGCTTTATTCCTCGACGGGTAATGTTAACTGACATAGGGTCAGACTGGAAAAGAACCTAGTGAGTGGTGGTCAAACCAAAAAATGGCTTCACCAGTCAATCAATGAAATCCACAACAGTTAGTTTAAGCCAGCCAGCCAGTCACCTAGGAAGGTGTAGACTTCCTGACTGACTGATTGGTTTGGATCCTCGGGAAGGTAAACACCAATGAAGGCTGGAGACAACTGGTGATATGGCTCAAGCTTATCGTTCTCAATGGCTGGTTGGCTGGCGCAGATGCATCCACTCCTTGTGACTTATGATTTCCAATGAACCTATATTGTTCTTCATTATTACTATTCCTTTGTCTGACACCTCTGTTCACTGTCTCTATTATGCATTTCTTCTACTTTCTTCTATTGCTTTGTGTGCTACATGGAGTGGAGTGTGGCGACTTGAACTGGTGCACGTCGGTGCAAAGTTCTACGTCGAAAACAGACAGACAGACCTTTATTCCAAAAAGTACCATTGATACAAATATACAATTTTCAGCATGTAATACAATATTGCATATGATTTTCTCATTCCAGGGGTGATAATTATAACAGGGCATTGATTCCCCTGATAATGCTGATAAACCACAAGTCTTATTTTGTACACAACAGATGGTGATTCCCCGACTAAAAGATGAAGTACTTAGACTAACCTCTTCCAAATGTATCTACTAACGCAACTGCGCTTGTGGTGGAGTGAGTTACATTGGCTATTGTGCTCTAGGAACTTGATTTTTCAGGCTCGCTCGAAAACATCTCTCAGTATAGCTATGTAAAGATGTAGTGAAAAAAAACCGTCAACAGTTCGATATTAGACGACCACTTGGTCCGAACTGGTCAACCACAAAGCCAGCCACCATTGATGAATCTTCTTCTTTCTTTACTTCGGCTATCTCCTACGGGAGGATGAGTCGGCTTCATGAACCATGAAGTTTCATGGGAATTGGGTACGAGTGATGTCCCCAGCATCGCTCGGCCTTTTGTTTGAGAGTGCAGCTCTAGCCTTTACACAACCAAGTGTGACCTACAAGGCAGTAGGAGTGGAGTAGGGAGTCCACTATCCATTGGCATCCGGTGACCGGAGTCCGGTTCATTCGCCTTTTTGAATGGGGCCAGTCATTCAGGGCATCCAATAAGCCCTTTGTCCATACGTCTGCCGGTGAGCTCCGGTAAGCTTCATACGCCAGTCGTTGGAGGTTTGGAATCAGGGTTTAGCCATCTCCCCTAGACTGTCATCCAATGGACAGTCAACCCGGTGAAGAGCGCCGGGCATCTGCTTTTGCCCTCTCACTTTGGTGAAAAACACCTCCGCCACGTGAAGGCAGTGAGTAGGACTTCCTCAGGAGAGGCTATGTAAGACGCCCGGTCATATGGGAGCATTTCAAGAGGTGTACGGAGGAGTGGCCAACCTGCAGCGCAAGGCACTCACCCCCGACCATCCTGAGGCTTTGGTCCTTCTACATCGTCTATCGGGAACCAAATCAATTGCCGAAAACATCCAGATACCGCCTACTCTAAATAGCAGAGTCTATCGCGATTTGCCTAAAACACAACCAGTGCTTTGTTTGCAGAAGAATCACGTCCAACCAACCACTACTACTGCGCCCTGGGGACCATAAATTCATGAATTTGTATTATTATCTTTCCTAATTTCTCTGTCTGACATTCAGTGTGTGTTGTTATGTTAATGCTATCGAACTGTAATCCATTGATATTATTATAATTATTGATTCAATGTTATTTAAGCAGCAATAGTGGTGTTGTTAATAACACAGTTAGAAAAAAACAGTGCCGCTTTCTTAGCGTCCCTCAGGAAGTTGGTAATTTCCTGTCTCACAGACACTTTTTTTCATCGCATAAAATGTGTGCCAGTCAAATAAGATATTGTACAGCTTTTGTACTTAGTTGTCCAAGCATACAGCCTCCTTTAGTTGCTTCTAGTTCCCCTACCTGAGAAGATGCGTCGGTGGCACAGTGGTTAGGACTCTCGCCGACCATGCACATGGTCCGGGGTTCGAACCCACGCCGGCGCACACCTGATATCTATGGTCGCCTGCAAAATTTGGGCTACCGATATCCATGCTGAAAATTCCATACTTGTACCAAAAATACAGTGTGGAATCAAGCTGTAAATCAAAAATATAAAAAAAAATAAGATGCAGGAAGGAGAGAGTTGTGTATGCAGAGGATGTTCAGCGTCTGATAGGATAGTATTTGCTAATTTCTTCCAGGAGTCTTTGTGTTTCTATCTACAACAGTATTAACGAGTTGAATAAGCAACACCCCATTCGCCCTACAGACGGCTTTTAGTCCCCTATGTAGGATAACAAATTCTTTCTGAAGTAGCCCAGGAAAGATTTAGCTGAGAGGGAGCAGTAAAGAAGTATAGGCAGAATAAGAAAAATCGACAAAGGTAACAATAGAGACGGGATGCTAATAGATCATCTTAACTTTCTTACACAGGAAGTCAAACGAAATATCTTTCTGGAAACTAACATGATGTGGGAATACCAGGAAAGGTGATTCGAAGAAATACACAGTCCAAGGGAATGCTTTTTGCTTCACAGTTCGTGTACATCATTAGCTTATTGGTATTGATAGAATGCTTGCCATTCACTCAAGAAGTTTACGTGTGATTCCCAGCCAATGGACTCCTCCACCCTGACAAGAAGAAAGGGAAGGTAGGATGTTGGAGGCGTAATTCCTGTGACAATCATAGGGGTATCAGTCTGATACCGGTCGCATCTAAAATATTGGCTGCTGTCTTGCTTCGCAGGCTGTGCAAAACACGTGAGGGATTGATTCGAGAAGAGCAGGCTGGGTTTCGTTCAGGTCGTGGATGCATTGATCATGTGTTCAACCTTCGGCAGTTATTGGAACACCACCACACGTATTGCAAGCCAATGACCGTTGTGTTTCTTGATATTAGGGGTGCATTCGATTCGTTGAACAGAACTGTGCTCTGGAACTGTCTGTTAGAGAAGAGTGTACCTGAGAAATTTGTTAACATCTTGAAAGCCCTATACAGAAACACCTCAGGTAGAGTGAGGGCATACAACCAACTATCATCACTGTTCCCAACCAACAGCGGGGTTAGACAGGGTTGCCCAATCTCTCCATTTCTCTTTAACTTTGCCATCGATGACATTCTGGAGTCAGCTCTGAAGGATGTGCGTGAAGGTGGTGTAGATCTGCTACCTGGAGATAGACTTTTCGACCTTGAGTATGCAGACGATATCGTCTTACTGTACGACAGCATGCAGGCTGCCCAAATCACGCTTAATCAGTTGGCGATCAGTGTCTGTAAGTATGGTATGTGCTTTTGGCCGTCTAAGTGCAAAGTACTGTTATTGGATTGTAAGGGCGATTGTTACTTCCCAGCTGCCCACACCGTGGAAGTTGAAAAAGTACTGTTACAAGATTGGAAGGAGCCTGTACCTGCACTCACTCTTGCGGGTGAACCGCTTGAAGCTGTTGATAAGTTTGTGTATCTGGGTAGTTGTGTGTGTGAGTGCTGTCGGAGGGGGTGACGGATGAGATTTCCAACCGTATAATGAAGGCTGGGGTGCCTATACATCAACTTCAGCCACCTCTGGCGCCGTCGCGACGTGAGCCTGGCTGTCAAAGGTCAGGTATACGATGCTTCGGTGCGGACTGTCTTGCTCTACGCCAGACCTGTGAAACCTGGCCTCTCCAAGCTGAGGATATGCGGCGACTCTGCGTGTTCGATCATCTCTGTCTCTGAAGGATTGCTTGCGTTCGATGGATGGCATCATCGCGTGAGTAATTCTGAGGTTTGGCGGCGTGTTTGAACACAGTGGAGATCACCATTCATAGAGTGTCGTCATCTGTAAACACCGGCTCCGGTGGCTTGGACATGTGCTGCGAATTTCATCCCAGATGCTTCCGTATAGGTGTCTGTTCGCTAGCCAGCCCTGGGACGGGATGGAAAAGGCGGAGGGTGGACAGTCCATGACGTGTGGCGTCGTGGGATGAAGGATGTTTGTGCTAGATTAGCATCGGTTGATGCGTCACGACTCCCTGGTTGAAGTCCGCGAAGTAGCTCAAACCGATGCCTCGAAACGTTATCGGATATGGCCAAGAATCGTAATCAATGGCGAACGTATTGCAATTTCCTTCTTTCTTCCCTTCCCGATGATAGTTGACGAATACTGTTTGAACCCGTTAAGTATGACTGTTTTCCTTCTACATGAAGTTCTTTATCCGTTCTCTACATATATTTTTTACCTTTGATCTATGTTGCCTTATTATTATTGTGTGTCGCATCTTTCTCGATGCCATATTGTACCAAAGTTTTTCTGCGTTTAAATATATAATAAACAAATAAATATGTCGGAGACTAGCAACCCCTAACCCGTAAACTGCTAATGACTCCCATACTAAGACTACACAACTCGTCCAGTGTCCCCATTTTATTTCACCAACCAAAAATGATAAATAGAGCCTCTATAACAGAAGTTATGCATTCGTAATTATATGAAAGCTTCTATTTTTTCAATAAGAAAAGTCTACTTTAAGCACCTTTAAGGTACTCTATCTCTATATGCTTCTGATAAACTGATATGAGTAGGTGAATACCACTCAAATTAACCAACCGGATCAAAGTGGTCTATACACCAGACGGCTGCTTCGATCGTTTGGAGCCCGAATCCGTTGAGATCACAAGAATTCTCACCAACTACTTGAGTCAGTCAAATCAAATCTCAGCACTTTGCATTTTACACAGTTCGAGGGGAAGTATGAAACCTCACAACACAGTTTCCTTTGAAAATCGAGATTATTCACACCACATTATGGATCAAGGAAACTACAACAAAGGGTGAATGCATCTACGCCATTGACAACGCTCTTGAGCACTTCTTACCGGTAGTTGGTTCTTAACATCCCAAGGTTCCCCAACTTGGAAGTCTATACTACCCTACGTGGCTGACTCAAACCAACTGTCAGAGACTTCATAAATTAATGACACGCTTTGATTTGACTACTCATAATCCTTTTCCTAACCTAAACTGGTATCAGTCAACATTACACTTCTAGGGAAGCGATGAGTTGACATGAACAACACGTTTTCTAGCCATTTAAATCGATACAAGTTAACAGGCTTATCGACTTACTTGTTCTCCTTAAGCTAACACACACATTCGACGCTTAATTGCAATATTACTCACCAACATTAACTCCAACAAAACACGAGAGATATAATGCAAACATCCATAGCCTCCTAGGGGTCGCGCTATTTCGTGAATTCGCAGAAGTTAGAATTCATGAGCTGGCCACTGAATCGGTTCCCAGTGGCTCAATGGTCTACCAGCCCGCTAGCCTTGTAACCAGAAGGTCCAGGGTTCGAACCCCAGTGGGGTGTGTGCGTACTACTGAAGAGTCACAAACTAGGACGAAACATCTGTCCAGTACTCCCTGCAGGTTTTCCAATAGTTCTCTAACCAATGTCAGCTCATGATGAAGTCATGTGACAAACCAAATCCCTACGAACCAACACTTAAATATCCTATACTTTCAATTGCCATACCTTCCATCCATGAAGGACACAGAGACAACTGCTTCTGGGGGCAAGTACACACGTCTTTTGATCGATAACCGGATATCAGTTCCACCACCAGAAATTATTCAGTGGTACACAAATGTCATACGAGCCTTTTGTATCATCCGTGTATAGATTCTGTCACAAAATGTCGGTCAATTGAGGCTGATGCAATTTACAAAATAAGTGAAGTGGTAACTCCATTATGTGGATAAGATTTTATTTTGATAAAGTATCACACAGTGTTGTTATACAGTAAGTAATATTAACTGATGCGACCACGTTTCGAGCACAAACTATTGCCACTCATAATCATATCAAGTGACTCATAAAACTTTGTTCTTTCACATTTATATACATGTGTGGAATTGACTAGATATTGGAATAAAAATTAATATAAGATAATGTACATTCAGAATAATTAATACGAGTGTTATTGATCAAATACAGTCAGGTGGAAAAAAGACGAGTGTTTGTATAGTCAAAATAAGTGAGTAACTTGTCAGCATGTTGTGATGTGTTTGAATTGAAATAGAATTTTGAGATTATTTATTAACCTCTTCTGATTTGACTGACTGACTGACTGTTGGTAATAATATCTTCCATACATATTTCTGGTATTTGCATTGAGTCATTTCTATGTTGCATGTGTTGTGTTGGGTGTAAACTCAATGAACCAGGATTCAATAATCAACCACCTGTCTCTCCACCTACTTCTTGGCGAAGGTAAGAATGGTTGACCACGAGAAGATGAGTAATTTAGAAAAAAGCTCAGCACTACATTGCACTGCATATATTAACACATACAACCACACAATAGGGGGGTCGGGAAAGGGTTACGATTCTAAGAAGTAATCTATGTAGGTGGAGAGAGAGAGATTGATTACTGAATACTGCCTGGGTCATTGAGTCTACACAACCAACACATGCAACACAGAAATGACTCAATGCAAATACCAGAAATACATATGGAAGATTATTATCACCACCAGTCATTCAAAGCAGAAGAGGATATTAAATAATCTCAAATTGTATTCTATTTTAATTCACGTACATCATAACATTCTAAGGGCAAAAGTAACAAATAAAATATTGACCAAAACAACTTCATAAAACATTAAAAAAATTTTAAAATCGCCTTTTTTGCCAAGAACCCTTTGGTTGGGTAGTGTAGTGGGGGGGAAAACAGATGGGGAAATTTCCAAAGGGAAGGCCGGTTGGGGTTAAGGAAAAAAGGAACCAAAGGAACCAACCCCAAAACCTTTTTGGGGGGGCTGTATAATGGCGGAAAAATAAAGGAAACCAATCACAGCAAAGTTAACGTGGCAAAATATGATTCGCAGATAGAGAACACTATTTGTCAAGGAATCCCAAAACAACCAATCAGAAGCCTGCGTTTGTCTGCCTAACTTCTGAAAAACAACCAATCAGATGACTGCGCTTGTCTGTAATAATGTATGTGAAATATGTATAAATACGTGTTGATTTTCATAATAAAACGATCTGTTGCCTGGCCCTTGTCTTCTGTTGTTACACTAACAAGTTACTTATTATAACTATAAAAACACTCGTCTTATTTCCCATCTAATTGTAATTGATCAGTAACACTCATAATATTATTTCTGAATGTACATTATCCTATTATTATTATTATTATTGTATCCTTTAGTTCCTAGAGGAACATAGGGCTTCAGCTGCGCACCTCCATTGACTTCGGTTTTCTGACAACTTTTTCAACCTGCTCCAGGTCTGTCCACATGCTTTCATCTCCTCCTCGCATGACCTCCTCCAAGTCACCATCGCATTGACGACCAACTCGCCGCCTCCCTTTCGGGTTCCACTCGAGGGCTTGTCTAGTGATGTCACTTGATGGTTTCCTCAGCGTATGGCCAATCCATCTCCATTTCTTTCTGCCTATTTGTTTCACAATCGGTTCCTGATTGGTTCGCTCCCAGAGATCCCTGTTGCTGATCTTTTCTGGCCATCTGATCTTGAGTATTGAGCGGAGACAGTTGTTAATGAAGGTTTGAAGTTTGTATAGGATAAATAACATTATCCTATACTGATTTTTATTTAAATATCTGGTCAATTCCACACATGTATATAAATGAAAGAAAAAAAAGTTGTGTAAGTAACTTGATATGATTATGAGTGGAAATAATTTGTGCTGGAAACGTGATCATCAGTTAATATTACTGTACAACACTATGTGACATTTTATCAAAATAAAATCTTATCCATAATGGAGTTATACTCTACCACCACATTGCCCAAGTTTTATACTTATAAAAAGTGAAGCGGTAGTCAACACATTCTGTATAAACTTGACAAATACGTTGGTGGCGGTTACGCACAGCGGTTAGGACTGTCGCTGACAGTGCACACTGTCCAAGGTTCGATTCCTAGCCACTGACGCACACATGATATCAATTGATGGTCTACCTGGAAATATTTGGGCTATCGATATCTTTTTTTTCCTTCACGTGAAGTTTCTGTAGTAGTGTTTATTTTTACAGGATGGGGTTGCTAGCTTCATGCCCAACCTTTCCTCTTTATCAGAATTATTTCTGGCTTAGCGAGGTAAAGGAGTGCGTCGGTGGCCGGGGATCGAACCCCGGACCATGTGCATGGTTGGCGAGCGTCCTAACCGCTGTGCCATCGAGGCAAATATCGATATCACATGCTGAAAATTCCATACTTGTACAAAAAATACGGTGTGGAATAAAACTATAATCAAAAATCATTTTCCAACAAAATGAGAAATATTTAATTACTTCATTTTCACATCTCCGTTAGACAGCATTGATGATGGAACGCCTTCTTTTTGTTGTTGTTGTTGTGTCAGCGGCGGCGGCGGTGGTGCCATATGAACCGTAAAATCAATGTTTGAATTCTTGATTGCCCCGTCAATATTTGATGTGCTTAAATTACTTTTTACAGCTTTTAAAACACTTTTTGCCTCTGAGAGAAATTGACGTCTTGCTGATATATCTTTATCTGATAGACGAAATTTCATAGGATTACTTTCAACAGCGCTAACAGTCTCCTAAAAAATAAATAAAACGTAATTTTAAAAAATCGTACCATATTGGGTTACTTAAAAAGAGGTTTTTTCATCATCTTACGGCAGGCATCATAGCCGGGCTAATGACTTCAACCTACCTACCACCTATAGTCAATTCCAAGTACACTGTGATGTCCAGTTAGTTATCCAGCTTGATGATCACCCTGCAAAAACCTGATCGATAAAATCCAATCAGCTCCTTGGGTTAAGCTGTTGGTTTTCAGCCGATAAGTCACGGTGACTGGACAGTAGCATCATCAGACCCCACACGATAAGCGTGACTCTCAGTCGGATGCATAAAAAATCTATTCCGAGTATTAGAGCCTAAAAGAACAGGCAGTTGGCTCCAACACAAAGAATTACACACATTGTGGTGAGAGCTGGCTGTTAGCCAAAAATGGTGGACAGTAATTTACGTCAGTGTTTATGTCCCCAATATGTTGGTCGTGAGAAAAATGGAACAAAGGCTTTGCATAGGGGCATACAGTTAACATATAGATGATCTGACATTCAAAAAACAGCCACAAAAGATGAGAGATTAACTTTCAGTGAAAAACAACTACCAATCAGAAGACTGTGTTTGTCTGCTAACAATAATCTATAATAATGCACATGAAAATCTATAAATATGTGTTGATTTCTTCAATAAACGATCTGTTGCCTGGTCTTTGTCTTCTGTTGTTACAATACTACTACCTAATTGATCAAGCTGAAATAAGTTAAGCGGGACTCAAAATTGTGACACCTAAAGGTTGAAAACAGACAGCTTGGAGCTAGTAGGCCACATCTGTCACGTGACTTATCAATACATCCATTGCAGTCCTACAGGAAACCTACAGTCTTGAGCCAGAATAGCACAGTCTGTAGTGTTTTCGACTGCAGCACTTCGGGAACACTGATTTTAGTCTCCAAGGGGAAACCAGTTCCTTTGAGGTTGCTAATACATTGTGCTAAAGAATATGAATAAGTGTGCAGCCTCCTAGGTCACTGACTTTTACTGTCGATTGTCTCAACCAACTAACACGAAAAAGGTCGTTCTGTACTGTTATTACTCGTCAACAAGAGCCTAAACAGAACTATTATTCGGATAAAATAAGCTGTCAGTCTATAAAGACTTCTGTTTAGTTTTATTCAACCTGACAAGGTAAAAATTTGTGTTATAAATGAAAACGTCATTTCCTTGGAATGCAACAGGAATGAACTACCCGTGAAATAAAAACTTCCTCTTTGAAAGTTAGTGAACATCACAATTACTGTTTAGACAATCTAGAATTGTAGATATACAGACTAACATGAATCTCGAACACTGATGGATGTGTACAAAACTAGGATCAACTCAAAGGGTTGATCTGCGACGAAATCTCAGTACGGATACAGAAGGCACGTTTTGCATATGCCAGTTAACGCCGTCTCTGGCTATCAAACAAAGGGTGGGTGTACTGTTCACCAGTCCACTCCATCCTCCTTTGTGGCTGGCTGTGAGCAAGACCTGGCCATTGAGAGTGGAAGACATGAAAAGCCTGTCTAGCTCTCTTTAATCATAGGTGCTTGCGTTCTGTCTCCAGTGTAAAGTTGTATAAGAGGCTGAGCAATATTGAGGTTACGCGTCTGTCGAGTACTAGGTGGTAAGTGGGAGGGAAAATCAATCGACGAGGCTGTGAAATTACATCGACTGAGATGGTTAGGACATGTGTTACGTATGCCTAGTCATCGCCTTCCTCGAGCACGGGCAATATTAGCTGATATAGGGTCAAGCTGGAAAAGAGCTAGCACATGGCGGTCAAATCAAAACATGGCTTCATCAGTCAATGAAATCCACAACAGTTAGTTTAAGCCAGCCAGCCAGTCTGTGTGGAGGTCAACAGCACTCAGCATGAAAATGGAAATAAGATCCGGATTTTCAACTCCAATGTGAAGTCAGTGCTACTCATTATACGGATCAGACTTGGCGCGTCATAAAGAACACCTGAAACAAACTACAGACTTTCATCAACAGCTGTGTGCGCTCAATACTCAAGATCAGAGGGCCGACCAGAAAAAATTAGAAACAAGGATCTCTGGAAGCGAACCAATCAGGAACCGATTGTGCAGCAAATAGGCAGGAAGAAATGGAGATGGACTGGCCATACTGTGAGGAAACCATCAAGTGAGTAACATCACTAGACAAGCCGTCGCTCGAGTGGGACACGAAAAGGAAGCGGCGAGCTGGTCGTCAGTGCAAGGGTGACTTGGAGGAGGTCATGTGAAGAGGGGATGAAAATATGTGGGCAGACTTGGAGCCAGGTGAAAACTCTAGTAGAGAACCGAACGCAATGGAGACGCGCGGCTGAAGCCCTATGTTCATCTAGGAATTAAGGGAAATAATCATAATAATAATGAGCTATGAGCATATACCAACAACTTAAGTTCACAATAATTAATTTTAAAAACACCAACCACAAATAGATGAATAGGAAATGTTGTATCACGTGATGAAGAGGACCTAAGGTAAATAGAATATCTAATTACTTTTAACAACTTCACTAGACAGACACTTTATGAGGTGTAAATAAAACAACAAAATCTTTGGATTATCTAAAATGACATGATATTAAGTAACAGTTCAGCAATGCTGAAAAATTGGTGAAATTGGACTGCATATTAATTAGAACAATGAGTAGTTTAAAAGTGTTTGAGGTGGTGATACCATTCCCTATACTACGGATATCTTTGCAATAAAGATGAACATGCTCTCATTTTGGGTTCAAAATGACATGAACAGAGTAATTTCAAAGTACTTGCACACATAACACGATGTCAGTTAATAGGAGACTTTACAATTAATAAATCCTGCTCACATATTACACTCATAACTTACACAAAGAAGTTCCAAGTTAAATCATTATGAAATCCTGTAACCAATCAATCAAATCCCTACAAACCAACACTTGAATATCGATGAGATGCTCACTAGCCACTTGCCCTATTCAGGTAGGTAGTTACCTGGGGTTTTAGTGAGAAGTCGTGACCAGTAGGGTACAGCAGGTTGGTTGTGAAGACAAATACTCGCCGAAGACATTGGCTAGGGGTCGCTCTATGTCGTGAATCGGCAGAAGTTAGAATTCGTTGGCCATTGGATCGAGTCCCAGTGGCTTAATGGTATACCAGCTCACCTTGTAACCATAAGGTCCTGGGTTCGAACCCCAGTGGAGTGGGTGCCTACTACTGAAGAGTCCCAAACTAGGACAGATGAAACACCTGTCCAGTACTCCCGGGTTTTCCAGTGGTTCTCTAACTGATGTCAGCTCATGATGAAATCCTGTAACCAAAAACACATACGATTGGTTATGGTCATTTTGACTAAACAGGTGAATATTGGTAATACAAGTCAAGAAAATTAGGTGTTGATGAAATCAGGGTAGTAACAAAGGTGATGAGTTCTCACAAACAGTTGTAAAAAGAAGTTATGTAATAATATGAATAGTTTGATGACTGAGTTCTACTCAGGATACACATAGGAACAAAGAAGAGAATACGAAACTACGTAAGAGTTCTAAATGAATACAAGAATTGTAAGCAATTAAAGAGAATTATAAGCGATTAGAGAACAGGCAAAGAAACAAAATTAAGTCATCAAAATCAATAAGGAGTACCCATTACCCATTCTGTTTCACTCTTATACCTGTCAAACTATTTTGATTCTCTTCACTCATCTTGTCTACCTTTGTGTGCTATTTGGAACGTGGCAACTGGAACTGCTGCACTTCGGTGCCAAGTTCTATGTTGAATCTAGACAGACAGATAAGGAGTACGATAATTGAGCACCTGGTTGACACTGATTATTACATTTCAACAAACGCCTCCTGCTTCAAAGTAATGTACCGAGTCCAGAATAACCTACCAGAAGCAATACGGTTTCATCTTCTTTGTATCGCTGAAGCTCTGGCCATTTACATAGGAAAACCGGAGCTGTGCATACAAAAGAGGATTACTCAACCACTTCTACTGTGATGATAACTTTTTAGATTTTGATGACTTAATTTTGTTTCTTTGCCTGTTCTCTAATCGCTTATAATTCTCTTTAATTGCTTACAATTCTTGTATTCATTTAGAACTCTTACGTAGTTTCGTATTCTCTTCTTTGTTCCTATGTGTATCCTGAGTAGAACTCAGTCATCAAACTATTCATATTATTACATAACTTCTTTTTACAACTGTTTGTGAGAACTCATCACCTTTGTTACTACCCTGATTTCATCAACACCTAATTTTCTTGACTTGTATTACCAATATTCACCTGTTTAGTCAAAATGACCATAACCAATTGTATTTTTGTTTGATAAACTTAATGTACACATACATACAAAATAACACATATATATTTGCGATTGTACAGCTAAGAAAATGAATTCTCCGAAAAGCAACTCTTCCCTGAACTGCGTGTTTTTTTCAGTCAGACAGTCTACACCTCCCTAAACAGCTAAGATTAACGGTCAATGATTTCATGGATTGCGGCGACATTTCAATCTGACTATCTCTAACTCTCTCTCTCTCTCTCTCAATACGACCTTACTTTTTTTATTTACAGCTTGATTCCACACTTTTTTGGTGCAAGTATGCAGTTTTCAGCATGGATATCGGTAGCCCAAATTCTGCAGGCCGACCATAGATATCAGATCGAGAATGTGCATAACACATTCCTTAGCCATCTCAACTGATCATTATCACCATATGCTGGTAAGGCGGCTCCATCTAACTATGATTGATACTTGTGATCCTATTGAAAGATAAATGCCACTAAGCCTCAACCATAGGAAGTACGACATTGCTTTTCGAGCTGCATTCCATCTTTCCAGAATCAAGACTACAAGAACACTAAGTGTATCTATCCTCATAAACAAAAATGGAGAAACTTATGAATAATTAAAATAACCTTTAACTACAAATCATGAGGTTAACTGAATGCATCTATCACTGAGTCGGTGGCACAGCGGTTAGGACGCTCGCCAACCATGCACATGGTCCAGGGTTCGATCCCCGGCCGCCAACGCACTAAGCCAGTAATAAAAGCTGGTAAAGAGGAAAGGTTGGACATGAGGCTAGCAACCCCATCCTGTAAAAATAATTACCACTGCTACAGAAACTTCAAGCCTCTGGCTTGAAGCCCTATGTTCCACTGGGAACGTGAAGGAATAAAAGGAAAAAAAGAAATAGAATACAACCCACGATAGTCAGGAAACTGAGGCACTTCTCTCTCTCAAAAGACAGAAATGCACATGTTCTACATGGCAGAACAATATAAAGGAATGCGTCACATGTAACAATGGAACAACAAGGGAAATAAACATACCTATGAATGCATCAAAAAGGACAGATGAGAAGAAGTACAGACTAAAAACTTAAAGGCTCTCCTAGCAACAGAAGCTAAATACAATATCGTGCAGTCACATGAATTATTAGAACTAGGAATAAAGTTAGAACTTAAAGCTTTTGACTTCTGCGTTAGAGAAATTAAAAAAATCTACAGATGACTTGAAATTATATGAGGCAGAGAGTAGAGATTTACTAAGAGATGCTGAAAACTTCACACTTGCCATTCATCACCTATCTCGTATTTTGATCATGGGTTTTTGTAGACATTTAGATCAATTTCAATTGTTAGATTTCGTCATGAAATAACGTCACTTAAAGATCAAGGGGCAATGAACACCTGTGTCGTCCTAGTTCGTTAGTCCAGCAGTGTAGGCCCACTAGGGCGACCGAGCCCACGACTTATAGTTTACGGGACCAAACCCCCTGATCATTTGGGTCAGAACACAATGGCTCGTGAATTCCAACTCCTGTAAATTCGTGATACAGCGCTACCACTAACAAATGCCTTCGACGAACATCTACTCACGACTTCTTACTACAGCTTCAGCAGACAGCGATCCGATATTTTTCTAAATGGAGGTCTTAAACCACCAAGAACAGTACCCGACAGTATCCGACAGCCAAAATCATAAATGATGGACAACTGAAACCTGTCATACCTATAGGCACGATTGTTAAGAAAAATATTTAACGGCTGCTTAATTATCATATGAGATATTCCCGGACTAGTGAGCGAGAAAGCAAAAAAAGGGATATCAATTAGTGGAGATTGTTCACAAACAAGTCAGAATTTAGTGATGACAAGACTTCTTTATCTGCACTACTTGTCTGTCAACCATTCCGTCATACAAGCTTTCCAATTAACATAGAATAAACAAACACGGCAACTTTACTTCTGAAGGCCTGATATAGCAGAGCTCCATAACTCGCTTTGAATATCAGAGTTGGTAGATGAAAAATCAGGGTTAACCTGATCAGGTTATTTTAACAATCAGAAAAAGCTACTCTCAGGTTACCTACTAATGAAGATGTAAACTTCGAATACCACAAGTGAAAAAGAATGTCAATACATCCGCCAGTTTATCAGGAACCAATGACAGAGGTAGGTAGGTAGTTAGGTGTGAATTAGACTCGAAACCGAGACCTACTGATTGAAACTTACGTGCTTAGACAAATTAACCATATTTTCACTGAGAAAATGTAGGATCACACTAATGGAGATGTTGAAATGATCTACAAGAAAAGTCGGACAAATGCCGAAGGCGAGGAAATATGGAGAAAAGTGATCTGAAGTGTCGACTAGTGAGGTCAAAATGCAAAATAATGCGACACTAATCCCACAATGTAAAGGTCCAGTGCCCCAGTAAGATACTATAATTTTCCCAAATTTTTATCTTCTCGAAAATCTAACCCTGAAGAATTCCTGTTTCAAAACCTTTCGATGAGAAGTCTACAAGTTTTAAAAACTTCACAAATACAAATTTTTGAGGTAAGCTAACGTAATGATTTAGAAAAAATACGAACACAATATCCTACGGAACTTAGATTAGATCTGTTTACAGGTTGAACGTGCTTCGAAACTGTTAACTCGGTTAAAGTCACCAAAATTCGTTATTGAAGAAAATTAAGAAACAATTCTTCAAAACAAAACGAATCCAAATATTAAATTCATGTGATAGAATTTCACGAGACGCTAACCTGTAAGTCCATTAGATCCCAGTCTATATTCTTGATCGTTTGTCGAATTCGAGTGAGTATTTTTGTATCCTCGGGACCAGAACTACCCTTCCAATCATTATAGAGTGTTTTAGTTAACTGCAAATTCTTATAAATCTCCTCTTGCATTGAGAAATATGGGTCAATGTCATCCATATTGCAGGATTACAAATCGCAAAACACAATCCAAACAGTAACGTCTCAGTCAAAAAGTTGCCTTCTAACCTTCACTTTTGTACTAATCATTTTTGCACATGTGGATGATTAGACATTGACAAGGCTTTGTGTTTGTGGAGCTGAAACATGTTTTATCGGGTTTTCTTAAAAGGGAGGTCAAATTCAAAAGCAAACTACCACGTTTTTGCCGGTATCACCCGGTACTCACTGCTCCATTTGGTAATATTGAAAACAGGGCCACCATTAACCTTTCGGGGATCAAAATCTAGGCATTCAAAATATCCTTCTATGCTTTGATTCCAAGGGGTTCCCACCCAGATAAGTGAAATTAAGGCTAACATGATATATCACTGGCACACTCCAATGCATCCATACCCCACATACTGAAAGAATCAAACTCAATCAGGTGATTTGTCATCGCCACAAGACCAACACTAATGCCAGTAACATCGCCAGTAATTAGTTCTAGGTTACTTGGTAATTAATCTCGATGTTTGTAGCATTAGGGGATCTGGAGATGGTATAAACTGAAGGATAACAATCGTTGTAAATACACCAGAACCTTAAGACTATGTTCACGGTAGCTGGATCAGTAAGTTTGCACTATGTGCTTCTTTTCAGTTTCAAAAACAGTGAACTTTCTACAGTTCCTGGATGATTCTGGCTGGGGAAATCCTGCCCAGTCTCTTACAAAATATATCTTCAGTAGACTATCTGGTTGCATTAAATTAATGTTATTCAAATGATGCAGAAATCCTACTCGATTGGCTTTGATGGAATTTCATAAATCAGAAATCCTAAAATTCGATGAAGCCACTTGCTTCTGTCTTCTGCACTACTTCTCACCTGCATCCATCCATGTTAGTCCATACTCTTTCAACCAACTCCTCCTCACACGATCTCCTCCATGTCACCCTCACACTGACGACCAACTCGCCGCTTCCCTTTCGGCCTCGTTCCACTCGAGAAATGGCCTGACGTGCGCGCAATGTCACCCAGCGGCCTCCTCAGCCGCGAGTGTCCAATCCTTCCATCTCCACTTTCTCCTGCATATTTGTTGTTTGGCGATTGGTTTGTTCTTGTTTTGTTTGTTAGTGCCCATAGTTTCTTGTTGGTGATTCTTTCCGGCCCGGCCATCTGATCTTCAGTATAGATCCAGCAAAGACAGTTGCTGGTTGATAGAGGTCTGCATCGCAACAGGCTGTTGGTGGAAATATTCTTTGTGACCCACCCGCCAAGTTTCTCATCCGTATAGAAGAACTGACCGGCTTGACCACGTTTGTATTGAAAACCTGAGCGAATCTTTTCGTTGGTGCTGGCTGAGTGACGAAGATTGGTTTTCCAGATTGGTTTGTTTCAGGTTGATGATGATGAACGTGGTTCTCGCTCGCCTTCCTGATTCTCGCTCGATCCTCTCGACATCCTCGTCCGTTCCGACTGTCTGTAGTTGAGACAGTGCTCCCTAGATAAGTGAGTGAATGAAGTAACCTCTGTCAAATCCCTCCCTCCCTTTGATGGTGATTGGCGCTGGATGTTGGTTCTGTTTTGTCGTTGTTGGTTGATTGGTCGGTTATTTTCATAACCTCCGTCTTGTCTATATTCACCTGGAGTGTTGTCTTCTCTGGCTGCTTCTTCGACCGGTCAGTTTGTTTGTTGGTTTTCGCGTGTAAGTCTTCGATTTTGTATGACATCAAACAGCATCAATCATCCACGCGCGAAATCCAGGTCTTCTAGGTTGTTCACGTCCGTCGCTCCAGGATATCCCTCCCTGTCTTCTCGTTTCTCACTCACCGTCTGACGCATGATCCAGTCAGAGTACGATTTTGTGTGACATCAAACATCATCAATCATCCACTCGTTTCCAAATCACTGTCCTACGCACAATCCAGTCAGTCCACCACAATTACGAATATCATTGGTGATGATAGGCAGGCATCACTGTCTGACTCCCGTTTACTCCAAACGCCCCACTGAGATTCCCGTTGTGGATCACTTGACATGTGCCGTTGTCGTACAGCAGCTGTTGAATAAGGTTGGTGAATATTTGGGGCACTGTACGCCGTAGTACTCGAGTAGTTTCCAAATTACTTTGCGGTCAACGCTGTCTAGTGAAGGTCTTCTCAAAGTGTGTAAAGTTGAGGTAGAGGTTTGATTGCCATTCCATGCTTTGTTCGATGATGACGTGCAGAGTTGCAATTTGGTCCGAACATGATTTGCCTTTCCTGAATGCAGCTTGTTCTCGTCGGAATTCTGTATCCAGTGAGTTCTCTATTCTCTCCAGGATGATGCGACTCAGGATTTTACTTGTCGTCGACAGGAGCATGATTCCTCTCCAGTTCTTGCACAGTGAGGCGTAAGTCGCCCTTCTTTGGTAGTTTCACGAGGTAACCTTTCCTCCAGTCAGTAGGCACCTTTCCCCCCTTCCAGACCTTTCGCAATAATGGAGTCAGCATGTCTGCTGTAGTCTCTGGGTCTGCTTTCAGTGCTTCAGGGGGTATTCCATCTGGACCAGCTGCTTTTACAGCTTTCAGAAGCTTGATTGCATTCAAGACTTCAGCTCTCGTTGGGGGATTGGTGTCAACTTGCAGTTGTGTACGCGCTGTTGTTGGTGTTTCTGGACGGGTTGCAGGTGTTGATTGGTTGAAGAGTCCTTTGAAGTGATCCGCCCATTGTCTTTCTTCCTTGGTAATTGGGTTCCCTTGACTGTCCTTTATAGGTTTCGCTTGTGTTGATCTCTTCCCGGATAGAGACTTGATTATCTGATATGGTGTCCTCAGGTCCCTTTTACCTGCTGCCTTCTCAGCTTCAGTGGCCAGATTTTCTTAGAATTGTCTTTTGTCCTTTCTAGCACTCTACTTCACTTCTTTGTCCAGTGCTGTATAAGTTGAACTCAGCATCTCTTTCTCTTGTCCGTATGTGCATTGAACCATTTCCCTTTCACCATTCTCCTCTCCCCTATTAGTTTCCAAATGTCCATTGAGATCCACTCCTTGTGTTGTCTCTTCTTTCCTACTAAGACCGTTGAACATGTTCCGTTAAAAATGACCTTCAGAGAGTTCCAATGGTCTTCCGCGTATGATTCTTCAGTGATGTGGCGTAGTGTTTCCTGCTTTGCAGTGAAAGTGTCTTTTGTGGTTGTATCCTTCAGTTTGTGCGCGTTGAACTTGAACTGTGGCCTACCTCCAGCTATCCTCGAGGCTTTTAGCTTCATCTTGAAAGTCCCTTGTACTAGATAGTGGTCTGAACCTACATCTGCCTCTCTTCTCGATCTTGTGCTCAGTAGGCTCCGTCTTCACTTCCTTGTAATTGAAATGAAGTCTATCTGGTTTTCGGTGTGTCCATCTGGTGAAATCCATGTCACCTAGTGTATATCCTTGTGTTTGAACACACTGCCACCAATCACCAAATCATTGAAGGTGCAGAAGTCTGAGAAGAGTTCATCATTGTCGTTCATTTCACCGAGGGCCTCACGACCCATGGTGAGTTCTCTTCCTATATTGCTCCTCCCAGCTTCACATTCATATCACCCATCAGGATTCTGATATCGCCATTCGGGACGTTGTCCATTACTGTTTGTTTTGTCTGTAGAACTCCGTCTTCTTCTCTTGTTCTGAGACGTTTGTAGGCGCATAGCATTGGATGATTTTAACCTTCCTATCTTTTGAGTTGAACCTGGCTATGATTATCTTGAAGGAGATTCGTTCCCACTGCATGAGAGCTTTGGCGACATCATGGTGGCCACTACTTCGATGTGCTCGTGATTGTCCTCTGGGTGGCCGGAATAGATTATTCTCTCTCCAATTGATAGTTGGCACTTTCTACACCTGTTCCATCTGTTCTCAAAGATTCCTCAATCTTCTATTTCGCATCTTCTCAGTTCTGCGGCTACCTGGGCAGTCTTTTCAGCTTCGCAAATTGTACTAGCATTCCGCATTCCCATCCTTATTTTTGACTTCATCGAAAGAAGGCACATCGACTGACTAGATTCCCGAAGGCTTTCGCCAGCCTGCATCATTTTACTACCCCAATTCCAGCGAAAAATAAGGTTACTGTTTATATTTTTAGTATTTTGAATATATTCATGCTTTGAAGTTTCTTTAGAAGTTGGGTTAAGTTTTGGGGTGGAGTTGCTAGTACCACGCCCCAACCCTCCCTCCCATCCAGGCTTGGGATCGGCTAGAATACTAGCGAGCTATTAATCTATGCGAGGTTGTATTAACGTAGTACGAGAAAATTTTCGAGTCAGTCCAATTTATCATCTAAAGAGATAATTTCTATTACAGGATGCAGCCGAATGCCTATGTGGGCGGCCAAGACAGCTGCAGTCGGTCCAAGTTGTGGAGTCGTTTGAACCTTAAGAGGTGCTACCCTAGGGTTAATCCTAATCAGACGACAACAGACATGTCCGTGTTCAGAATTTCCAAAAAAAATGCCACTGCATAAGCACACTGAGGGGCATAGCGAAAGATACGTGATTCTTTTGTTGACTGTTTCATGTGTTGGTCATTAAAATGAGGAAATGATACGTCGAGAACCGTTTCAAAAACATGCTGCTTTGTTTGGGTATTTCGGCATTTCATTCCAAGCCCAATTCGCACCTGTTTTCTAGTAGCTGCCTAGCACATGGAAATACAGTGATTTCACGCCAATCGTGCATATGGTCAGGAGATTGAACCTCTGCAAAGCCCATTTCATATCTGCGAGTGGAATGCAGAATTTATCATTATTACTAACTTTATTTCCTAGAGGAACATATGGCTTCAGCCGCGCGTCTCCATTGCGTTCGGTTCTCTGCTAGAGTTTTCAGCTGCCTCCAAGTCTGCCCACATGTTTTCATCTCTTTGCGTGACCTCCAAGTCATCCTTGCACTGACGACCAACTCACCACTTCTCGTTCTGTCGGGTTCCATTCGAGCAATGGCTCGTTTAGTGATGTCACTTGCTGGTTTCCTCACAGTATGGCCGATCCCCCTCCATTTCTTCCTGTTTGTTTGTTGCACAATCTGTTCCTGCTGGGTTGGTTCGCTCATTACCAGAGATACCTGTTTCTGATCTTTTCTGACTGAC